ACCACATAAGCAAAAAGAAAAAAGCTGGAAGTGGCGCTGTGGCTCAAGTGGTAGAGCGCTAGCCTTGAGCTGAAGAGCTGAGGGACAGCGCCCAGGCTCAGAGTTCAGGCCCCACGACCGGATCCCCCCAAAAAAAATATATACAAAATTCACTATCCATTGAGGAGTAAACATGATTAAAGCACATTATTTGCATGTATGAAAATAGCACAATTTGTACAATTTTTTTCAGTCATGGGGCCTGAACTCTGTCCCTGAGCTCTACAGCTCAAGGCGAGCACACTACCACTTGAGCCACAGCACCACTTCTGGTTTTCTGGTGGTTAACTGGAGATAAGAATCTCTTGGACTTTCCTGCCTGGGCTAGCTTTGCACTGGGATCCTCAGATCTCAGCCGCTGAAGTAGCTAGGATTACAGGCATGAGCCATTGGCGCCTGGCTGCAATGTTTTTGTACAATTAATTTATACTAATAAAATATAGTTTAGTCCAGATGACTGTAATGTTATTTTAAATAATCATTTGAGATCCCCTGATTGTCAGGCACTGGTGGCTCACGCCTATAATGTCAGATACTTAGGAGGTTGAGATCTGAGTTTCATGGTTCAAAGCCAGCCCAGGTAGGATAAGTCTGTGTGACTCTTATTTCCAATTAACTCCCAGAAAACTGGAAATGGAGATGTGGACCAAAGTGGTATAGCATTAGCTTTGAGTAAATGAGCTCTGAGCAAATGAGCTCAGGACAGTACCCAGGCCTCAAGTTCAAGCCCCCTGACTGACCAAAAGAAAAGAAGAGAGAGAAAAAAAGGAAACTTTCCTTGAGGGGGTCCTAGAAGCCAAATTCGGGCTAGTCTGGGGGTACAGAGAACTGTAGACTTGCTAGCTAAATTTGAATTCTGGGAATGAGGCCATCCTATTTCAAGGCCAAGAGTTCAAGCCCCAGGACTAGCAAAAAAATAAACATGTCTAAAATTATCAAAATACATATTTTTTAATTTCTAAGACTTAAGTAACATAAGAAAGAATAAAAATTTAAACTCAAAGGAACCAAGCAAGTTCTCAGGACAAATAGTTTTTAAAGTTTTTAATCTTAATGTTTTCCTCTTTATAGATATGCTTACTTGTAAAATCAATAAATTTTAACTGAGCATGATAGCAAATTCCTAGAATCTTTGTACTCAGAAGGCGGAGGCAGGTAGATCTTGAGTTTATTACAGTGAGACCATGTATCAAAAAACCCCAATAATTTAATAAACTAAATAGTTTTATTAGGTCATAGTACCTTTTATAGAGCTGGGTTTTCTTAATTCTGATTTCTTCTTATTTGCAGGCCTGGAAACTAAAGAGAAAAGAAGGCAATTGATTATCTGAAAGTATTTGACAAATATATTTTAAAAGCAAAATACCATGTCACACAAAGATAAGAACATGCTATTTTTTGATTCAGCAGGCCAATTTTAGCTGACCTCACCTGCCATGAGACAACAAAGTATTAAAAACTCTTCACAGTAGAAAGGACACTAGAAAAATATTATTATTTTTTAAAATCCTAGGAAGAAGTATATCAAAGATTAAGTATTTATTTATGGGTGGTATTTTCTTCCTTTTATTTTTGTATTTTCTTCTTTGTGACTTATTTCAAAGATGATCAGGAAGGAAAAAAAATCACATAGCCATACTGCAAGACCATACCCCATTGTGAAACCACTTCCCCTGGACCTCAGTACCTTTCTCTGAAAATGGATTGATTAAACAAGTTTTTTTGTAAGGTATCTAAAGCTGATATTCACTTTAACATACAGTAACATTAATCAGAACTCATGCCCCTGTATAAATGAAGTATATAACACACATACATATCATTTACTTAGGGTCATGACAACCCAGCCTGAGTGGTAAAATCCCATCTCCAAACAACAAAACTATGTAAACTTTTAAAGAAATATTTACCATGGAGCTTGCTGAAATAAAGCATTTCTTCTGTTGTAAGATCATCTCCCTTTGAAGAATCCTTAGTTATTTCAGTATAAGCTGAAAACATGTAACCCAAACGGTTAGGTAAATGTGGGAGCAGGAATTTAAGCAAGGGATTGTGTAAAAAAAAAATCAAAAGTATTATACAGTAAATTCAGTAAGTATCTGATCACTTGGTGCTCTATTATTTCTTTTGCTTGCTTCTTAATAATATCCAGCAAGACATTACCAGTTGAAATAATGGGAAACTTGATAATGAATTGTGGGAGGAGGTAGGAAGGATGAGGGAAAACGATGGAAGGAGTGACTCTGATCAAGATGCACTGGACACATAAGTAGACATGTTAAATTTTAACCTCCTATATAACCATTTGAAGATTAAAAAAGTAAAACAACAACAATAACAACAAAAATGGTAATTTGGAAATCTCTGAACATATGGCCCTGGCTATTTTTCTGCCTTAATTCCCACCTGAACATTACTGAGTAGTAATGTGTGCCCCGCTTTTGATCACCCTGACTGTTGTGTAGATGGAAATATAAGCTTTCCACTGTAAACCTAGCTTGACTGCAAACCTTTTTATAAACTAAAATGATTTGTCTTTTGATTTTGCCATTTGAGGGTGTGAATTGTTAAGATTACTTTTACTTTGTTGGTCTGTTAACGAATGTTTCCCGGCTAACCTGAGAAGACTTTAAAAGGGATTCCAATTGTGGCTTCAGACAAAATATGAAGCAATGTTTTGCATCTGTGAATTACACTATGTACTTTAAAAAATGTTCCTTCAGTTTCAAAAATAAGAGTGTTTTCTCTGAGTAGAGATGTCTAGAAAAGATGTGGTCTTCCAGTCAATAATAGTAAAAACTTATATAAACTGGAACTTTGAGGAAATAGGGTAGAATAGAAAGAAAGTTGAACTTTGGCATCATAGACAATCCTCAGTTTGAATCTCAACTATGTAATCTCTGTCAAATAATCTAATCTTTCCAACCCTCCATTTCCTTATTGTCAAAACTCTCAGGATATTATCACCTTCCAGGGATAGTCTAAGGCTTAAATGAAAGAATACATATGAAGTGAAAGCTTCCACATAGCAAATGTTCAATAAATGATAGCTTTTATTTCTTCCTTTCCAAGTATTTAATATCCCTGCTGTCTGGTCCCATTTTTCTGAAAATTTTGTAGTATTTTGTAAGTCTGGTAGTTTGTAGCTTGTTTAAAGTTAATCTCTAATTCTAGTAATGAGAACAACAAAAATTCAACATTATATCAATATTCAAATGATAGAGATCAGATATGTGCCTGTAATCCCAGCACTCTGGAGACTTAAGGGTAGAAGATTGAAATTCAAGGCTAGTCTGAACCTTATCTCAAAAACAAAAGATTTAATTTTTCTACAGAAACTACTTATCATTAAACTAATTAAACCAAAAGTTATTTGTAGACCATCTGTTATAAAGAATCTCTTCCATAGATTTCATCATCTATATACATGAACAAAATGTAGTAATATGATTTCAGACCACAAGACAACAGTAGTCATATCACATTTCAAATTTGTTGAAAAGGCACAATATTTAAATTATGCTGATTACAATGAAATGAACTACTGCTTTAAATCATTAAAGATTGTCAAATTCTTACCTGGGGGAACATGTAGCTTAAAAAGCAGCTTAAGCTTCTCAGTAAAACTTCCATTGTACATTATATCTGTTCAATGAAATACAATTGGAAATGATCATTTATCCAATGAACAGCAAATCAATTCCAGCTAAAGAGACTAATTAAGATATAGACACTAGCAGGAAATAGGAATTAGAAATATTCTTTTATTTAAGCTAAATTAAGTTAAAACAATCATTCAGGTAGCCAAAATATTTCAGACATATAAGTAAAATATTCTCTCAGTAGAAAATGCTTTCCTCTCCTATCTCCTTTTCCCCAACCTCAGATTTGTTTTGTCTTTTGGATAAGGCCTATGTGTCTTGAGTAAAGCAAGATCTGTTCTTCAAGGGACAATCTGTGAAAAGCAAGTATAGCTAGGGAGTCTGAAGAAGCAAAGCAATACTATTTTCATGCACAATATACTGAGTGCAGGAACATGTTTGCTGGGTGATTCTCTGACTCTGCTAAGCTATATCACTGTTTTCTTATTGAAGGGGATAATCTTTCTGTTGCATCCATGCAGTTGAGTTTGGAAAAAAAATATCAAGACATTATTTTCCTTCATGTTAACAATGAAAACATCCAAATCTAAGAGTGTGTCCTTCTCAGAAGGTTGGGGTAAAATGCGATCAATATACTTAGTTTTAGCAACAAACACATAAAAAGGTCCAGTCATTCTGGAGACAGTATAACCAGGGTGGTATCATCAGACTAGATGGCAATAATTAACAGAGTACTAAGTATTTCTAAGGTGAACTTAATTTTTGCTTAAAAAACTTAGTGGACATCTGCCTACCAATTGCAGAGGCGAATTCTTTGAAGTTTATAAGGCAATCAGAATTTTCATCCAACAATCTGAATGTCCATAGAGCTAGTGAGTCTCTGTTTGCGGAACATGCCCAGGGACTCAACAAGTGATACAACACCCTGAACTGCTGGCAGTCGATCTGATACTGTTCCAAATATGGCAGGCTGGGGTCGTGGTGTTTCAATTCTGAATAACCCACACACCAATAATAAGATAAAAACAGCTCTTTCTATTAAAAACAAATAAAAAGGCAAGTCATTAAAGCAGAAAAAGTGATTACAGAACATTTTCTTCTTAAAACATTTCTGCTAAAAAAAGACAAAAGTATCTACAGTGAGTTATGATCAAATGTTGCTAAGAGTTTTATTATTCACAAGAACAACAAGAATACCTTAAAGATAGCATAAAGTTCATCCAGTTCCTGAAGGCTTAGTTTAACATCTTGTGATACAACACGCATCTTTAAAAAGAAAAAAGCAATTTAAAATTTAACACTTTATTAATGCTTCAGATCTGCTTAAGAGTCTCCTTTTGTCAGGAGAAAACATTTTCCTTTCAATTTTCTAGAGAAGTAACAAAGTCAAATGCACCTACTTTACCCTTTGTATATGGACTACAGTTCAATTTTACTCTGATAAAGTATTTTGATAGTTATTTATTCAGATCCAGTAATTGCTGCCAAATGACAGCAACTAAATGTCTATAAATTTCAGCAGCAGTATTCTAAGTATCATTCCTTATATTCCTCTTGTCACATAAGCAATTTATCTAGTCATCAAGCAAGGCTGTCATCAAATACTTCAAAGGCATCAGGAGATGTGCATTTCTCTCTATGTCAAAAATATAATCCAAGAAATAAGCTTAGAAAATCTGTAATTTTATCCTGCCCCAAGAAGCAGCAACATTAATTGTACAAACACCATAGTATTTGAATAATTGAAAACCAATTGTAGGCTGGGCACCAGTGGCTCATACCTGTAACCCTAGCTATTCAGTAGGCTGAGATCTGAGGATCACAGTTTGAAGTCACCCTGGGCAGGAAAGTCCATGAGACTTTCCAATAACTACCAAAAAGACAGAAGTGGAGCTGTTGGCTCAAGTGGAAGAACACCAGCCTTGAGTGAAAAAGCTAAAGGCTTTGTGCTCAAGCCCACTACTGGCATATACATGAAAAAGCAAAGGTAAAGATAATTGCTATAATTAATAAAAGTGAATATTAACCCTTCCCCAGAAGATTCAATGAACAAAATGAGAAGTGGCTCATTGAAATAATGGATAAGACAAATGTGTGATCATACTAGCAAGTGTGATTAAAAGAAATGTGCACAAATGAGTCAGGTGCCAGTGGTTCACACCTGTAATCTTAGCTACTCCAGAGGCTGAGATCTGAGGATCATGGTTCAAAACAGCCTAGGTAATAAAGTCTAGGAAATTCTTAACTCCAAAAAAATACCACCCCCCCAAAAAAAAGCTGGAAGTCAAACTGTGGCTCAAGTGGTAGAGCACTATCATTGGGCAAAAAGAAGCTTAGGGGCATGCTAGTTCCAGCCCTAGGATTGATACTAAAAAAAAAAAATCACAAATGAAAATCATTGAGAAAAAAAGGACAATAAAAGTGTGGATATGAAACTCATCAAAATGCGTACAACAAAGAAGACAGTGTAAAGTATCTGTTGAATGAATTCCACAAGCTTTAGACTAATCTAACTGAAAATCTAGATAAAACAGGTAAATTTCTTGGAAAAGATAAATGATCAAAATTAACTCATAGCAAGTAAATTTGGACAGAAATGAAAACATTTGAGGGATGAAGAAAATCCAAGAAGTTACATACACAGAAGTATATATATATATATGTGAATATAGCATAATAAAGTCCACCCGATATTTCAAAAGGGGGGACAAAAGAATGGGAATACTGTGAAGGTGGTGAATTTTTTCAAAAGGTTCTGTGTACATGTAATGTATGGGGACACCACAATGAAACACCCCTACATGGCAAACATACATTAACTGAAAATTAAAATGTAAAAAAAGAACTAAAATATAATCAAGGATCTCCTACTTAAAGGCAGCCAACCTACACGATTCTGAGTAGTAAGAATTATAGGTATGAACCACTGGCCTGGCAAAAGGACATTCTTATACATTGTGACTGGGATTGTAATTTGGGACAAATTTTAGAGGGTAATTTACCATGATCTGTGAAATTTTAGATAGACATACACTTTTGCCTAGTTTCTACTTTGAAACATAAAAATACAGTTTAAAATATAGGTAGAAGTATGTTTATATTGTGTCGTCTTTATTTTTTTAGGTCTGAGACTGGGACTTGCTGGCTAACATTCTACCAAGTGAGCTAAGTCTCAAACCCACATCATGTTATATTTAAGAAAAATGGTGACATTAAAAGTGTATGAAAAGGAATAGTTAAGTCCATAGCCTATCTATAGCATGGTATAATGTTTAGTACCTTAAGAAGACTGATTTACATCTGTATGAACTGACAAGTAAGAATCATGATATATATTTTTGTGTGCTAGTCCTTGGGCTTGAACTCAGAGCCATGGTGCTGTCCTTTAGCTTTTTTGCTCAAGGCTAGCACTCTACCATTTTCTTCACATCCAGCTTTTTTGGTGCTTAATTGGAGATAAGAGTCTCACAGGGTTTTTCCTTCCCAGACTGGTTTCCAATCATGATCTTAAGATTACAACCTCCTGAGTAGCTAGAATTACAGATGGCTCCATGATGTATTTTTGAATGACAAAAGCTGCAGAACAAAGTGAGTGGTATGATGTATAATTTCATTTAAAAAGCTACGTCTCTTCCCTCCCTACCTACACTTGCATGTGAACAAATATATAGGAAAAAGATTTAGAAGGTTATATAATAAATCATTTTGAGTTGGTTACTCCCAGGCAGGAGAACCTTGTAATGCTTGAATCATTTAAAACAAATGCACATAATCTTAAACACAAAACCTAAAAATAAATGGGCTCTAGGTTAACTATGCCACAGAAAACATCATGAATTATTTAAATGAAATCTAAACTTGAGGTCTTCAGAAATGTTTATCTTTCTAGATTGTATCTGTGAAGACCTGGGCTTTAAGCAGGCTGGTTTACAAAACAACAAACCATCAACAAAGATCAAGCCTTTTAGAACAATATAAACAGCAGAGTAAAAGTATTCCCCTTTGACTAGTAATCTATTCATTCAACTAACCAAAAGAAACCAAGATGGCTTCTTGCAGAGCCATCCAAATATTTAGAAAGTGAGCACTATGCCCTTTTGCTTTACTTATGTATCCAAGGAAAGTAATGCTTATTAGCACAACTATTGCAAGATCAATTGTACTTACTGAAGCAGCATGTTATAACTGTGTGACAGTTATACACCAACATCACAGCATTTCAGTACTGTGTTGCAGTAGTGTCAAAGGTCAAGTAACACCTTGACCTTTATTCCACCTTTACTGGTGGAGTAAACAAAGTAACTCAGCCTGAATAAAACAACATATTTCCTCTAAAATATTTACAATAAGGAAAACTTTGCTAAGAATCTAGTTCAAAAGTTTAGCCTCTTTCATTTTATTCACATGGAATAATAGTTGTTTTTTTTGTATGTCTGTTTTTGTGCCAAGGCTTGAACTGGGGGCCTTGAATGCTTGCTTAGCTTTCTTGCTCATGGCTGGCACTTTACCACTTGAGCCATGGGTCCAGCTCAGCTTTTTGCTGATCTCACACTTTTTCTGCTTAGGTTTGTTTCTGAGATCGTCAAATCTCAGCCTCCTGAGTACCTGGACTTACAGATGTCAACCATCAGTGCTTGGCTTGGAATGTTTATTTTTCTTCTAAAATATAATTTTACTGTTATTAAGATGTTGTACAAAGGAGTTACCATTCTGTAAATCAGGTAATGAGTACAATTCTTTTTTTTTCTTTTTGTCGGCCATGGGGTGTGAGCTCTGGGCCTGAGCGCTGTCCCTCAGCAATTCAGCTCAAGGCTAGCGCTCTACCACTTGAGTCACAGAACCACTTCCGGCCTTTTCTGCTTATGTGGTGCTATGGAATCGAACCCAGAGCCTCATGCATGAAAGGCAAGCACTCTACCACTGAGCCACCTTCCCAGCCCAAATGAGTACAAATTTTTTTAATTATGAAAATACTGTACAGAGGGGTTACAATTACATGAGCCAGGTAATGAGTACATTTCTTATCAAGCATTGTTGCCTCCTCCTTTGTTTCCCCTTCCCATACTTTTCTATCCCCCCCCCAACCAAAGTTGTAAAGTTATTCTTTTGGGACAATTTCACTCTTTCTTTCACTTTCCCCTAGTCTCCCCCTTCTGTCCTTGCCCACCAGATGCATAGTTCACTTTCCACATAGTGTATACTGAACACCATGGCTGCTTTTGTTGATTTTTCTTCCCTCCATTTCTGTGTCACCCTTTGCCCCCCTCAAAAAAAAGCAAAAACAAATACCACCACCAAACCATTTCCATTTTGTGGCTTTTGTTTCAATAGTTAAAATACTACTTTATTGAAACATCTAAAATGATACTCATTATGCTTTTGGGTTCCTCATCTAAGAGTATTCTATTTAAGTCTGTGTTTGAATACCTAGAGTCTTGTATAAGTCCAGTTTATTTTAGATCTAGCTTCTACTTATGAGAGAAAACATGTGCTGTTTGCCTCTCTGAGTTTGGCTTGCCTCACTACAAGATTTGCTTTAGGTTCATCTATAAGAAAGGAAGTTAAAGAAAAGGTATGTTGCATTAACTGTTTTCTCCCAATAGGTTTATGCTCACCACGTTCTGCTTGGTCGTTTCTTCTAGTGTCTGTATCACATACAACCGATTTCGACAGCGCATGCTATGTATATCTTCATAGCGAAGGTTACCATATTTCTGCAGGAAATTATTTGAATGGATACTCATTCATCACAAATATCTGCTGCTTCTACAACTGAATTTCTTCACTCAATTCTCAGGGCATTGGTTCTATTTCTGACTTGTTCAGTGATTTTGCATATTTTCACCACCCACGTTTCAACCGATATACATATTCACTAGAGAAAATACATTTCCTATGTGTCTAGACTAAGTACAAGAACATTGGTAAGATTTTTAAATCTCTAAGAAAAGAATAATTTTTTTCACCTTTTTATATAGAGTAATACATTTAAAAGTGGTCATGATTTGTGAAAGTAAGATTTACTTTCATTTAATGAAAACAACTGGGTGCAAAGAAGGTTCTATCTAGCCCAGGACCAACTCACAAAATTGTTTTTATAAAACTCATTTTAAAGTTAAATTGGATTTGAAATTTTTTATTGTTCATATTTTTATTTGGATTCCAAATTTAGGAAAGGCATTAAAACAACTTATTAAAAATGCAGAAAACTGACAAACTTCATTCTGTCTAATGAAAATCTTGAACAGGAATGGCAACAGAAACCAGAAACTAGTATATACCCTAGCCAAAGAGGCTTAGTAAGATATGAATTCAAATGTCACTAGATAGCCCTACGGTTTTCCTAATATAAAATGAAGTAACACACTTTAGAAAGTAAATAAAAGTGTTCACAGAACAAGAGAAGGCTGGATCCTAAGCTCAGAATAACCCATAGCATCTATTGTACAAATTCATCACAATAAACAATAAACAAATATTAAATTGCATCTTGTATTATCACCTTAATCTTGATATACCATAGAGTGATAATGACCTAAGATTTTTAATATGCTATGCAATGATATTTATGGTATGAAAAAACTTACCTCATTAGACTCTTTGATCAAATCTGTAATATCCACTGTAGTATCACTGTTTTTTCCCTCATTCACATTTGAACCCTGCTGAACACTTGAAGGCAATGGGCTATCCTTGTTAATGACACTGTCGAAGAACCTAGCCAAAGGTGATAGCAGTGTAGGAATCAGTACAACTAAAATAGCTAGAGTATAGATCATGAAAGCTAATTTATACCTAATAATCCAGAGGTTAAGTTCAATGCAGATGACAAGGAAAGTTCTTATGAAGAAGATGGTTGGGAATTAGGAGGCCATGGATAGGAGAATAGAATGGGGACAAAATCATGTTGGGCTGGGCCAGGAGAGCATGAAAAGAAGAAAATAGGTTAAACGTGTCCTCAGCCAATACTATCTAGTCCAACAAGTATGGAATATAAAGTATATATAGGCATGCAAAGGAAAAAAGAAAAGTGAGTAACACTGAGTTCTTTCATGTGTTTGGAATGCCAGAGGTACATGTATAATATTCTCCATGGAATGGAGCGTTACAACAGTTGTCAATTCAAATATTCATTGATTTAACATTTACAAATGTGTGCATATATACATGAACACTAAAAAAACCCCACATATACTCCCATACAAAGCAGCATGCAAACAAAAGCCACTAGGAAAATAGTTTAATCCCCACGACTGAAACTACTGGAAAACCATTATCGTTTCTCCCACTAGATATTTAACATTATCAACTAGCTCTTTCCTCCTCAAATTACTTCTACATAGAAACACTGTATAGCTTAAACTAGAACTCTGAAATAAAGAGTGGAGCATAGTGTTGGTTGTTCATGCTTGTAATCCTAACTACTTGGGAGGCTAAGCTAGGGAGATAATAGTTCAAAGCTAGTCTGGGCAAAAAAAGTTCACAATATACCTTCTTGACTAATAGCTAGACATGGTGACCTGTGTCTATTAACCTGACTTCATGGGGAGCATAAATAGAAATACTTTGGCACATTGGGGAAAAGCATATGTTTGGGAAAGAAGTGAGACCCTATCTCAAAAATAACCTATATAAGTTGGCCATTAGTGGCTCAAAGCTGTAATCCAAGCTACTCATGGAACAGAGATGGTCTGGAGGATCACAATTAAAGGCCAACCTGGGCAGAAAAACTTGAGATACTTCATTGCCAAAATAAACAACAGAAAGCAGAATGGAGGTGTGGCTTAAGTATTATTACTCTAGCAGAGCAAATATGAGGCATTAAGCTCAAGCCCCAGTTCTGCTAAAAACAAACAACATAATAAAGGGTTGGAAGCATGTATGGCTGAGAGGTAAACCACTTGTATAGCAAGTGTAAGGGCCTTGAGTTTAAACCCCAGTACTGAAAAAGAAAGAAAAATCAGAGCATACTGAATTAGCATAAATGCTTACATAGCCTAACTGCTCATTTCAAAGTGATTTACTTTTTGTTACATGCTTTTTGAAGACAAAAGACAGGATTATAGGTCTGGCTTTATCATTCAACTATCTCTGTGACTCCAGGCAATATTTTTGAAGTTTTTGCCTCTCAATTTCCTCATCAGTAAATTTAAGGGGAATGAAGAACATAATGTCTTAGATCTATCTCCTTCAGATTTAAAAGTTATAATTCTTACACTACCTGTTTAAAACTGTCACAGCCTCAGCATCATCTTTACACGTCAGAAGTTTGTCTAAGTTATAGTCAAGTATTGCCAATCCCAGTTGTAAAATGGCCTTTATTCCATCATAGAAGAAACAGTCGACGACATTTACCGCACTTTCAATAGGCAGCACACTAATGAAAAGTGTGAGGAACCAGGACAGAGAAACGGAGGAAAAAAATGTCATGTCGGTCATGTGCTCTGTTAGCTGAGGAAGGTGATCCCTGATAAGTTCTTCAAACACTGCCTGATCCACCAAGGCACCTGAAGAATACCAAGACAAGTTTAAAAACGAACTTCTTCTAAAGTATTTGTTCCCCATCTCTCTTGCTTTACATTAGCTTGCTGATATGTCTTTTTTCCTTATATATTGAATCCCTTCTGTACCTTTTCTGCACTTTATACATGTGTCATGAACCCCAAAACACTTGAGAAATACCATTTAAAGTCATTTGAAGCTGGGTGTCAGTGGCTCACACCTGTAATCCTAGATACTCAAGAGGCTAAGATCTGAGAATAATGGTTTAAAGCCACCTCAGGTAGGAAAGTCTGTGACACTATCTCCAGTAAACTACTCTGAAAAAGCTGGAAGTGGTGTTGTGGCTGAAGTGGTTCTACCTCCAAAGAAGTTCAGGGACAATGCCCAGACCCGGAGTTCAAGCCTCAGGATCGGTAAAAAAAAAAAAGTAATTTGAAGATCTGAATCCTTATTAGGCAGAGACAATGTACTATTATTAATGAACTGGCTTCATCTTTGTGATGCTGGAGATGTACATGTTCAGCCAGTGATCTACCACTAAGCTACATCCCCAGCTCTTAAAGAGCTTAGTGTTTGTGCATTTCTCAATTTACTGATTCTGAATTTGGTAATTCAAGTGACAATAAGCTAGGCACTGTGCCACAGACCTGTAGTGTAATCCTAGCATTTAAGATGTGAAGGTAGAAAAATGTCAAGACCAGATTGGGCTACATAGCTAGACCTTGTCTCAAAAACATAAAAAATCAGATGTTTAGAAAAATGTCATGTGGGGAAGTGGTGCTGTGGCTAAAGTAGTACAGCGCTAGCCTTGAGTTGAAGAGCTGAGGGAGAGCGCCCAGGCCCAGAGTTCAACAACAACAACAACAAAAAAATGTCATTTGGGTTTGAATGGGTAGCCCATATTTCATGTGTATGAAACTTAACTCCCAAATGTATGTACTCATTGTATTTAGAAGTAGAAATTTCGAGAGGTTACTGGATTATAATGGATCTGCTCCAAAGAATGGATTAATGTACTCATGATTAATTCCCCGGTGCTAGCTGCTTACCCTTGTAATCATAAAGCCAGCTGAGGCTGGTCTACAAGACTCCATTTTTTGTATGTGTGCTATTCCAGGGCTTGAATTCTGGGCACTGTCCCTGAGGGTTTTTAAATTTTTTTTCTCAAGTCTGGTGCTTTACCACTTGAGCCACAGCTCTACTTCTGGCTTTCATGGTTAATTAGACATAGAACCTGGGCTGGCTTTAAAGCACCATCCTCAGATATCAACCTCCTGAGTAGCTGGGTTAAAGGTGAGCTACTGGCACCTGGCTTGAGATACTATTTTTAACCAGCAGAAAATCCAGACTGGAGATGTTGCACAAGTGGTAGAATATGAGTTGTGAACAAGAAAGCTGACCAAGCGTACAAGGCTCAGAATTCAAGCCCCAGAATTGGCACAACAAAGACAATAGATTATAAGTCATCAAGGGAGTGACATATTAAAAGTAAGCTCTCCGTGGCATACTTCTTTTGTCTGCCCTTTGTCATATCCTCTACAATGCTATTATGATATAGCAAGAAGACCTTGGCTAGATGCCAAGCAGATTCTGGATACTTTTGGACTTCTCAGGCTCTGGAACTATGAGTAAAATAAGACTTTAATTTTTGTGCCAGTACTGAGTCTTGAACTCTGGGCCTTGTGATCTTGCTTGGCTTTTTTGTTTGTAACCGGTAGTTTATCACTTGGGCCATACCTTCACTTCCAGCTTTTTGATGGTTAATTAGAAATAAAGAGCCTCAAAGAATTCTCTGCCAGGGCTGGCTCTAAACTACGATTCTCAGATCTCAGCCTCTTGGTTAGTTATGATTATAGGCATGAGCCTATAATCTCTTAAAGCAACAGATAACAAAGACTGTAGAAATATATGTGTGTGGTTTGTTTTACCAATGATTCGACGATTAAAGTAATCAGGCAACATTCGTTCACATACAGCAACCAAAAGCCAAAAAGCTTCTTCTTCTTTTGCGTACAGAAGCAACACTGACGTCAAAATGTTCATTGCCTAAATTTCATAGAAAAGATACAAAAAAGTAAATATTGCTCACTAACCATCTCATTCCCTTTTCAAGCATAGGAGTTTTCAACAGTAAGAGAACAAGTAATAGCAATGATTATGGAACCATAAGAACAATAAACTCAGAGCAAAATGATATGAAATCAGGCTATTCTTTTCTAATCAGTTATTCTGTACAGTTATATTCAAGAAAACAAAGCAGTATAATATCATGGATATGCAATATACCATCTAAAACCTAATATGGCTAATTTTAGTTGGTAAAAACATACTAATTATCACAAAGCTAAAAACACACATAAATTTGAAGGCAATACTAAAACTGGATGAAACTATCTGTATTTGTAACTCCCTACTGAAGAATATCCCTTAGATGTCAATCATCTTTCATTATATCTAAAACTAAGAATCTTTCTCCTATCAAGTAGGATTCACTTTTTAGTTATCCTAATTTTGTGCATGATAGAAACTCTGCATCTGTTACATCTTTAAAAAAAAATCATATCCCAGAGTTCTCCTTATAAAATGTTTTTAGATCTGTTCTTTCTTCCTATTTCCATTGCCACTATACTTTCTGCTTCTATCTGGAGCTCATTTAGGACAAAAAGCTATTCCCCAACAAGTGTTTGTTGAAAATAATCAGAGGCAGCTGCTGACATGTGTGGGTGGGCTGATATAGAGGGAACAGTTGGGCTAAACAACAGGCTAACAAATGGCTAAATGAAAATCTAAGATATTAAGTAAATTCTGACATATTCCTGGGAACTTAGGAGGCCATATACATGCATATAGCCTTTTGTGTATTCATAGCTATAGGAAAGAACAGAAAAGTACTAAGCTCTCACCTCTGACTCATCTTGAGGCTCTGAGAGTAGAAAGTGATAAAAAAAATGAAAAAAGTAGAGTTATCAACAGTTAAGCTCACTGAGAATAGGTTTTAAAAAGATAAAAGAATACTATATTGAAAATGAACTATACAACTTGTGGATGGGCATGGGAAGGAAAAGCTGGGAAAGAGGGAGAGAAGGGGGTGACATTGTCCAAAAAGAAATGTACTCTTTACCTGACAATGTAACTGTAAATCCTCTGTATATCACCTTTACAATAACAATAAAATTTTTTAAAAAGATAAATCCTTGAATATAGTTGGGTAAGCTTACCACAAAGATTTTGAAAAAAACAGAGAGTACTGAAAGTATTTCAATATGTAAAAAGAAAATATACTATTATCCTATTAAAAATAGAAAGAAGTTTATGGGATTATGATTATGCTATCAAATTAATAATCCTACAAACTACTGATACTAGCTCCAGAAGAAAAAAAATCAGAATTTATCTACAATAAGGAGATTGTATTAGTAATGAAAACACTTCCCACAAGGAAAACTTTCTGAACAGATGGCTTTACTGTTTTCTGCAAAACATTTAAAGAATTAGCACCAGTCTTTCATAAACTCTTCAGATAATAAGAGTAGGAAATGCTATCCAACTCATTCTAAGATATCTTGATAACAGAATTAGACACCACAAGACAACTACATATTAATATATGTTATGAATGTAACTATAAAAACTTCAACAATGGGGCTGGGAAGGTGGCTCAGTGGTAGAGCGCTTGCCTTGCATGCATGAGGCCCTGGGTTCGATTCCTCAGCACCACATAAACAAAAAGAAAAAAGCCGGCAGTGGCACTATGGCTCAAGTGGTAGAGCGCTAGCCTTGAGCTGAAGAGTTGAGGGACAGCGCCCAGGCCAAGAGTTCAGGCCCCACGACCGGACCCAAAAAAAAAAAAAAAACTTCAACAAAACATTAGAAACTCAAATCTAGTAGCATATGAACAAAGATTATATATGCACAAAGACCAGGTGAGATTTGCCCTGGGAATGCAAGGGGGTTCAATATATGAAAATCAATCAATGACAAATGCTATTTTAATAAAACGAAAAAAAATCACATGATCATCTTAATGAACACAGAAGCAATTTCATAAAATCTAGTATTTTTCCATGATACAAAACTCTGTAAACTAGGAATGTAAAAAAAAAAAACAAAAAACTTCCTCAAGCTGATAATCTTAAAAAAAAAAACTTCACAGCTAACATTATGTCCTATTGATTGCTTTCTTCAAAGACAAATACCAAGACAGGGATATGCATTCTCAATAATTCTGTTGAGCTAAGACTTTAGCTATTTGGGAGGCTAGAGTGAGAGGTTCATTTGAATCCATGACTTCAAGATCAGTCTGAGAAATATATTAAGACTTGGTCTAACAAACAAACAAAAATCCCCAACAACAACATCACCACTTCAATTTAACAACGCATTGAAGATTCTAGCCAGATTAATTTGGTGCAAAAAAATATGTCCAAATTAGGATGGAAGTATCACTACTCAAATTTGGTATGTAGAAATTCCTAAGGAATTCACATAATATCTTCTTCATCAGAACTAATAAATCAGCATCATAAAGTTAAAGGGACATAAGACCAAAATATAAAAAAATGAATAGTAAGAGCCAGGCGCTGGTGGCTCATGGCTGTAATCCTAGCTACTCAGGAGGCTGAGATCTGAGGATCACAGTTCAAAGTCGGCCTGGATAGGAAAAAATCTGTGAGATTCTCATCTCCAATAAACCACTAGAAAACCGGAAGTGGCACTATGGCTCAAGCAGTAGAGCACTCGCCTTGAGCTGAAGAACGCAGGGAAAGCTCCCAGGCCCAGAGTTCAAGCCCCATGACAAAAAAAAAAAAAAAAGAATAGTATTTCCACATACTGACAGCAAATAATCAAAAAATGAAAATGAGAAAACCCATTTGCTGTAGTATCCCAAAAATTAAAAACTTAGAAAGAAAATTAAAGAACTATGAGATTTGGAACACTGAAAACTACCAATTTTTTTTTACTTTTTTTTTTTTTGCCCGTCATGGGGCCTGAACTCTGGGCCTGGGCACTGTCCCTCAGCTCTTCAGCTCAAGGCTAGCACTCTACCACTTGAGCCACAGCGCCACTTCCAGATTTTTCTGTCTATGTGGTGCTGAGGAATTGAACCCAGGGTCTCATGCATGTGAGGTAAGCACTCTACCACTGAGCCACCTTCCCAGCCCTATCAAGTATCTTTGAAGAAAGAAATTTTAAAGAGCTGAATTAATAGAAAGACATAGTATATTCACAAGACTTAAATCTATAATACTCTCCAAACTGACCAACAGATTTAATACAACTACCAAAATCTAAGCTGGCTATTTTTAAAAAAAGAAATTGGCAAGCTGATCCTAAAATTCATACAAGGGATCAAAAAGTACAAGGGATCTAAAAGCCAAAAAAAGAAAATGTAGTTAAAAAAAGAAAAATGTACTTACAAAAAGAAAATGTACTTAAAAGGATAGAACTTGGTTACTGCATCTGTGTGGTAATCAAGACAGTATGGCTCTGTTCAATAGAACAGAATGGAAATTATAGAAATAAATACTATGGCTGACTGATTTCAGCAAGGGTACTAAAGGTCCACTTTGTTCTCATTGAGGTGGCTGTAAAAAAGAGATGAAAGTCCATGAGACTCATCTCCAATAAGCTACTAAAAAATGCCAGAAGTGGACCTATGGCTCAAGTGGTAAAGCCCTAACTAGCTCTGAACAAAAAGCTTAGGGATAGCATCCAGGTCCTAAATTCAAGCCCCAGGACTAGAGAGACAGAATCAAAGACAGACAGAGGAGAGACAGAGAGAGATGTAAAAAAATGTAAACTTTATACTGCTAGTAGGAACATGAAGTAGGGAAAGTTGAGCAGTATATACACCCAAAATGAAAAACAAGGCCCATACAAAACGCCTATACACAAATATTCATAAATACATTATTCTTTGCAATCAAAACAGACAAAAGTAATCAAAAGTCTATCAACTGTTCAATAGAAAAACAAAATGTGGTATATCTATATAATGAAATATTATTCAGTTGTAAAAATGAACAAAGTATGGATACATATTCCATAGCATGGATGCAATCATTTTTTTTTGCCAGTCCCGGGGCTTGAACTCAGGGCCTGCGCTGTCTCTCTGAAGAATACTCTACCCTTTGAGCCAGAGCACCACTTCCAGTCTTTTCTGTTTCTATGGGATTAAGGAATTGAACCCAGAGCTTCATGCATTGTAGGCAAGTACTGTACCACTAAGCCACATTCCTAACACATGGAGAAATCTTCTTGAAAACAATATGCCAAGAGAAAGAAGGCAGGTACAAAAGACTACATATTCTATCATTCCATTTAGTAAGATGTCAATAAATAGCCACAGTTAAAAAGACCAGTGATTGGGTAGGGGAGAGGGCGAAATATTAATGACTGTATGTCTTCTTTTTTTGAGGGTGAAGAAAATGTTCTGGAAGTAGACAGTAGTGATGGTTACAAAACTTTATGATTATACCAAAAACCAGTAACAGGGTCAGGCATGATGTTGCATGCCTGTAAACTCAACACTGCTGTAATGTCAGCACTGGAGAGCCAGAGGCCTGAGGATTCCAAGTTCAATTTCGTCCTGAGCTATATAGTCCCAGGTAAGTCTGGGCTACATTGTGAAATCCTGTCTCAATGAGGCATGAAATGGTAAAGTTTGTGATATTTGATGTATCTCTACATAGGTAGGGGGGAGATAGAGGAGGGAGAGATTAGGGAGAGAATAGGGAGGAGAGTGCAGAGGAGAGGGAGAAAAGGGGAGAGAAGGAGAGAAGGGGAGAAAAGAGAGGGAGAAAAGAGAAAGAGAGGAGGAGAATGGGAGAGAAGGGGAGAAGGAAAGAGAGGAGAGGGAGGGAGAGGAGGAGAAAAGAGGGAGAGGGAAAGGCCAAGTCAGTTAGCCAGCCATCCAGCCATAATATATCTAGTATGATTCAATGAATTTTTGATTAAGAACAGTAAAATCTGCTTGCCATATTAAATTCTGAGGCTTTAAAGGTTCTTTGTGATCTTGTGGCACTAAAAGTAATATATACTTCTTGATCAGAACATAAGTTTGATGTTCAAGGCACTTATTCCACCTGAATGGTATTGTCACTTTAACCTAGAATAACTTTCTTCCTGCTCTCCATGTCTCTAAATTTGCTCTCATCTTCTAGAAGCCAAAGCCATGTACTGCCTATTTTAAAACTATGTCTAAGGTATTGCATATAGATAGATTGCATATAGATAGACAGATAGCTCTGAGAGTGCAAGTTGTTTGAGAAATTATGTATTATATATCTTTGTTACCTTTCAGAGATCCTAAAAATGCTAAAATACTTGATGTTTAGATGCTTTATTCACTTAAACAGTTTGACAGAAAAAATTCTGTTAGGTTTTCAATGGTTACAGCTACTATCCATTATTGATATGTAATTACTACAGGTGCGTAACCTAGTAGAAATCCATATATACTGGTAAGTGCTTGCAATCCACCATTATCCAGCTTTTCCTTCCAGAGAAGCCCACTGTATTTCAGATTTCCTTGTGGATAGTTGTGCTCATGTGATGGATGGAGTCCTTGCCACAATGCAGGTAAAGTGATATGTAACCTATTCCAGGTATGGCCTGGAAAATGTACCACAATTGTTTTTCCATTCTCTTTTTCCCTTCTGAGCACAGTAATGTTAAAGTAAAAGAGTAGCTTGGAAAATGTGTTTAGAAGATGACAGTCAACTTTTAGCCTAATGCTTCAGTCTGAAAAATCTGGAAGAACACTGTCTACCAACACAATGGCTCACTTTGGTCTATTCCTTCAAGAAATAATCTAGTAAACTGTGCACTGGTAGCTTATGCCTGTAATCCTAGCTACTCAGGAGGCTGAGATCAGAAGACTGTTGTTCAAAGCCTGCCTGGGCAGGAAAGTTTGTGAGACTTTTATCTCCAATTAGTCACCAGAAAACTGGAAGTAGCACTGTAGCTCGAAGTGGTAGAGCACTAGCCTTGAGCAAAACAGTTCAGAGACAGCAACCAGGTCTTGAGTTCAAGCCCCACAACCACACACAAGAAAAAGAACTAATCTTCTCTTGTGTATCAGTTACATGTTTGTGTCTGTATCACCTATTTAGCCTCATTAATACTGTGTACTCCTAAAGGATTTGTCCCCGATGGTTCCTCTACTTCCTACAGAAAAAAATTCCAATTCCTGACCTACAATAATATACCTCATTTTCTTCCAAACACTTAGCTCCATTCACCCTACACCCTAAACAGAACATGGTCCTCTTCAAATTCCTCCTTTAAGTCTATCTGTGTTGGACTGCACTACTTCTTTCACCTAGGATGTTCAATCTTTCTACTATCTATGCATTCAAAATTTAAATTTCACAATCTGCAAGTGCTATCTGTTCATGAAGCCTTTTGTGTGATTCTTTTAGATATAATTCATTATTAGAGATAGTTCTTCACATTATGTTACATTAATCATCCTAACATTTTCTTTCACCTGTTTTTTGGTTCCACAATGGAACTGGTTTATATATTAATACCTACTAATCTATATATCTTAATAGCAAGATCTTTCTCATCTATCTTTGTATAACTGTAAATATGTGTGGCACAGTATCTTTCACAGGACTGGAATTTAAATAAATATTTGTTAAATGAAAAAGAAAAAAGAAATTAATAAAACATTCATTCTAAGTATTCCCACCATCATCCTACTTATATTATTAATACTATCAATCTCAGCTCAACTTCTTTCCTTAGAATCATAATCCCCAAATTAGTAGGTTTGGATTTGTAGTGATGCTATCATGCACAGAGCTGGGCTAACAGCAAAGTCATACCTGGCAGTATCCTATTTGGGGATTCCTATATGCATAAGCAGTGAGTACCCGCCTCAGAGCAGATATACCAGTATCACTCTGAAATGCTGGGTGTTCAGGCAGGGAGCGACGCAAATCACGCTCAATTTCCTCAGTAGCCAAGTTGGAGGTTCCGAGAGACTGTTCAACTACTTCAGAATAATAGCCAGGATTCGCAGCCATGTCATTACAAGCACCTGCAAAGATGAATGCATTCACATACAAAGGAAGAATAAAGCTAAGATTTTCATACAGTGGCATATTTGTATGTACATTAAGAATTAGATTATATTACCTTGAAATTTAATGATTCTGAGCACAAAGAAAATGAAGGAAAATAAAAAAGCATTACACTAGAATCTAAAGGGCCAAGTTCAAATTATCAATCAGAAAAATATTTTTAGCTAGGCTGGTGGCTCACATCTGTAATCCTTGCTACTGGGGAGGCTGGGATCACAATCACTGTGGTTCCAGGCCAGCTTGGGGGAAGATTGAGAAACCTCATTTCAATCAATAAAAAGACCAGAGAAGTGATGTGTACCTGTCATACTTACAATGAAGAAGCATAAATACAAAGATCACGGTAAAAAGGAGGACCTCATCTAGACTTGTTAGACCTGTCTAGCAGATCTAACACCCTGAGTCCACACCACAGTACTGACAAAAACACACAACAAAAATACTTTCACGAATATTTTTTCCTTTAGTTTTTAGTAGTACTGGAGTTTGAACTCATGACCTTGGGCCTGTTAGGCAGGCAATCTATCACTGGAACCATGACCCAGCCCTTTTTGCTTTATTTTTCTCATAGGGCCAGCCTCCAACTAGGAACCATCTACTTACACCTCTTGCATAGCTGGAATCACAGGCAAGCCACCATCACCAGTTTACTGGTTGAATGGATGAGGGAAGAGGGTTCACTTTTTGCCTGGTCTGGCTTCAATCTTTGATCACATATGTAGTTGGAATTACAGACATATGCTACCACACTCAGCTCCTTTAATTTACCTTTGAAAATAGATTCCCCATCCTTCTAGATAAATTCTCCCTCCTTCTAGATAAATCTTGCCTAATAAGCTAATCTCAGTCATTAGATGATGGATTTACAGTAAAGTAAACATTATTTTTCTTCTTTGACTAGTCTTAACTCACATCCTAGCCATCTTTGTCATTCTTTAACTTTCTGTACTAACTCCTAGAAGGAAAATATTTACTGTCTATTAAATAACTGACTAGATACCTGAAAAAAGCATCCAGAGCTCTCCTCTTAAGGTTTCTGGAATCCCTCTTACAACCAGATCTCTAGTCTTTCTGGTTCGAAACATGCTAATACCACGTCCACATTCAGAAAATAAGATGTTCCACAACTGTTCCTTCATCTTTTCTTTCAACTGTAATAGAAATATCAAGGCAATTAAACACAATGAGAAATGGCTTTTTCAAAATAACTTACCTCTATTCATCATGAAATGGAGTCAAACTCCATTTCCTCCTAGGAGCCAAACAAAAATTTAGCCATATACAAACCTAACATCTTTCATTTACTATTTTAGTTTCTCTAGATATTTATTCTATTTCCAGTAACAAAACCTAGCATGTCCTCTGTTTTAATGTAAAACATCTGACACTCTGCAATATACCATTAACTATTTTAACTCTTTATTTCTTTAAAAACTTTCTATTTTGGTTGTAGGGCTTAAACTCGGGGCCTGAGTGCTATCCCTGAGCCTCTCAGTGCTCAAGGCTAGTGCTCTACCACTTGAGCCACAGAAACACTTCCAGTTTTTGAGTGGTTAATTAGAGATAAGAGTCTCATGGGAACTTTCCTGCCCAGGCTGGCTTGGAATTGTGATCCTCAGATCTTAGCCTCCAGAGTGGCTAGGATTACAGGTGTGAGCCACTGGCACCCAGCTGTTTTAATTCTTAAACTCACAAAAATGTCAAAAAAAATCACATCACAGTTAGGAGGTAAAGCTTTGAATTAATCTTGATTGTTCCCAAATCAATGCTACTTGAGTTTATATTTATTATTAGAGATCTATGGAAATAAAACCCAGAATCTCCCTTTTATCTTCTTTCTTAAGATTCCTTGTATGTTACGGATTGAAAAAGGTATATATACATTAGTATTTGTCGGAAAACCTTTTCAAATCAACAGAAAGGTCTTGTATATTATAATTATTTGCGTCCATAGACTGAAATAAATTGGTTGCCTACCACTTTAGAATTAAGTGTCTCCAAATTCTGAGGGTGAAATACTGTCATTAAGGCTTCAGTGTTCACAGTCTTACTGCATTCTTTTTGACTTGTCAAAGATTGCGTTTCAGAGACATCAGAAGGGGTTGCAGAGTCAGAACTAATAGCCACCTGAAAAAAAGAAAATCAAAATGTAATTGTCCCAAATGTATGCTTCAAAGATTGTATAATATCAAATGCCAGTGGCTTGGGTCTGTAATTCTAGCTACTCAGGAAGCTGAGATCTGAGGATAGTGGTTTGAGGCCACAGGGCAGAAAACAACCCTGTGAGACTCATCTCCAATTAACCAATCAAAAAAAACAACCAACAAAAACCCATAAATGGCACTACTTCTCAAAGTAGTAGAATGCTAGCCTTGAGGTAGAGAGTTCAGGGATAGCACCCAAGCCCTGAGTTCAAGCCTCATGTCCAACAAAAAAAAGTTTGTGTAAGAATATAATATTGCTCATGTGTTACCTGTCATTTAAAAATCATAATCTATATACATTTTAGTCATAAGGCAATGTCCTGGGAGATATCAAGAGACTAAACTCTGGAACAGCAAACTCTGAAACCTTGTGAGTCTACACTCTCCCCCCCAAAAACAACAAAATACTGGTACACACATCATTTCAGAATTAACCACAGGCACAAAATGGATTGAATAATAACACCTAGTCAAAAGCAAAAAAAAAAACACCCAAAACCTATTAAGGGTTGAAAATGTAGCTCAGTATTACAATGTGCTTGCCTAGCATTCATGAAACACTGAAAGAAAGAAAAACTAACCAACCTCTAAAAGAACCACAGTGCCAGTGGATTTTACCTTTAGGCTATGCCTATTCATCTAAACTCAAAAGTAAGGCAGCCATGAAAACTCATACTATGAAAGTCAGCAGATCTTTTGGTGTTTCATTTAAAACTTTGTCCCCATAGAACAGTTGGAAGTTTCTGGAAAAGCTCCACTTCTAAGGTATGATCATTTGATGTGATTCACAGCTCGGCTCAATGAAAAAGCCTCTAGGATGGAGGGTGGCAACCAAGGATCTTGCTTTGTAAATAAAATTGTATTAAAACATAGCTATGCCTTTCAGTTATTTTGTCAGTAGCTGCTTTGGCAGTAAAATGGCAAAGTTGATTAAAGACTGTATCGTCTGGAAAACTTAAAATCTATGCCCTCTGACATTTATAGAAAACCCTATTCTAGGGTTTATAGGTCTGTGAAGCAACAGGGTCTAGTACCTTTGTACTTAAAACATAATCATCTGTATTCTTTGAATGAATGTATAATGGCTGCTTTATATTCCATTTATGAGCTCCAACAAGTGGTCAGACTCAGGGATATTTTTCTATTGGTTGCTTTAAAAATTATTTTATTGGGCTGGGAAGGTGGCTCAGTGGTAGAGCACTTGCCTTACATGCCAGAGGCCCCGGGTTCGATTCCTCAGCACCACATAAGCAAAAAGAAAAAAAAGCCGGAAGTGGCGCTGTGGCTCAAGTGGTAGAGCGCTAGCCTTGAGCTGAAGAGTTGAGGGACAGCGCCCAGGCCCAGAGTTCAGGCCCCACGACTGGACCCCCCCAAAAAATTATTTTATTTATTTTTGGTGCTAGTACTGGGGCTTGGATTTAGGGCCTGGACATGTTCTCTTAGCTTTTATGCTCACGGGTAGTGCTTTACCACTTGAACCAGGACTCCATTTCTGGCTTTTTAATAATTGGAGGTAAGAGTCTTGTGGACTTTTCTGCCTGGGTTGGCTTCAACCGGTGATCCTCAGATCTGACTCCTGAGTAGTTAGGATTACAGGCATGAGGCCACCCACTCAGGTGGGTGATTTCTTTTTCAGTTTTTATTCATTTTTTAAAATTTAATTTTATTGTCAAGGTGATGTAGAGGAAGTTACAGTTACATACATAAGGAAAAATGAGGGCAGGGGTAACAAGTTCAACAATAAATGTACTCACTACCTAAGTTTGTTTGGGTCATGGGGCTTGAACACTGGGACTGGGCACTGTCCTGAGTTCTTCAGCTCAAGGTGAGCACTCTACCACTTGAGCCATAGTGCCACTTCTAGTTTTCTGGTAGTTAATTGGAGATGAGTCTCACGGACTTTTCTGTCCCGGCTGGCTTTGAATGGTGACCCTCAGATCACAGCCTCCTGAGTAGCTAGGATTACAGTCGTGAGCCACCTGCACCTGGCTTGTTATTTTTAAGCCTCTTTCCAAGGTTATACTGACCTTTTGAGTCAGTATAATTTAGTAATCCTCCAATTATGGGTCAGATTTCCTTAAATGAGTTAAACATTTAAGTCTTAAATCTCTTTTCCAAGGGAATCTTTGTGTGAAGTTCTAAGTCAAACGAGGCAGTTTAGAAATTAGGCTTAACTTTAGATTTTTTTTGTCAGTTGTGGGGCTTGAACTCTGGGCCTGGGCGCTGTCCCTCAGTTCTTCAGTTCAAGGATAGCATTCTACCACTTGAGCCACAGCGCCATTAGGTGTAACTTTAATATCCTCTTTCAAAATCAGCTAGAGTTGAGTATCTGGGTCCTCCTTCTTCCCTGTTTCTTTCCTTGGTCTACTGAAGTTTCTGCACAGGTCTGTATACATGTGGATCCTATGTCAGGACCTTTCAAATTCCTGAGTACTAAGGATTATAGTTGTAAGTCACCAGTGCCCAGCAGCTTTTTAAGCCCTTTAAAGACACAAACTGCTTTAATAATATTCATGTATTTATAACATAAAGCCAAATGTTTTTTAATATACTCGAAGTTGTGCAATTATCATCACAATCCATGTTTTGTACACTGTTATCACCCCCAAAAGAAATTCTATATTCTTTGTAGTCATTTACTATCACCTTCCTCTCTCTCTTCAAGGTTCTAGATAGCCAGCAATCTATTACTATAAATATGCTTATTCCGTTTCATCTAATTGGAACCATTTTACATATGGTACTTTGCATATGACTTCCTTCTAAGCATGTTTTCAAGGTTTATTTATGTCATAGTGCCTACCAGGACTTTCTGTCCTTCAATGCTTCTATAACATTTTACATTCCCAATAGCAACATAGAAGGGCTTCATTTTCTTCACATCTTTCTCAATAGTTGTTAACTATCCATCTTTTAAATAATAGCTTTCCTAAGTGATTATGAAGTTGTATTTAATTGTGGGGTTTATTTTGATGGTAGTGGGAATTACACTCAGGGCCTCGTGCTTGCTAGGCAGGCACACTATCACTTGAGCCATACCCCACCCCTTTTAGCTTTGGTTACTTTTCTGATAAGAGTTTTGTGTTTTGTGCCTGGGCCATCCTGGATTGCTATACCCTTACTTATATCATGGTTGTTGTAGTATGGGTACCATTCAAGGTATATTGTTTTAGTTTAAACTTTATGACTGAGGACTAGTTTATTTACTGGTAACCTATCAAAACTACAGAAAAAATATGAAAAGGTGAGAAAATCACTCCTGTAATCCTAGATACTCAGGAGGCTGAGATCTGAGGATTGTTGTTCAAAGCCACCCAAGACAGGAAAGTCTGTGAGACTCTTACGTCCACTAAACTACTAAAAAAGCTGACATGGAGCTGTTGCTCAAGTAGTAGAGCACTAGTCTTGAACAAAAGTAACTCAGGGATAGTACTTAGGCCCTGAGTTGAAGCCCTAGGACTGTTGTGTACACACACACACACACACACACACACGCGCGCGCGCGCGCGCGCGCGCGAAAATATAACCTCTTAAGCAACAAAACCCTAAGCACAAGTTTATGAGTACAAGTACTTTAGTCTTCATCTTGATTACCTCTTAAGTATTCATAAAATCACATTAACATTGATTTTCAAAGTCAGTGGCTTAAAGCAATTTAGATTCTGAATTGTTTAGAGAGCATAATAAAATAGATTATTCAAGGAACAAAACTTTATGTTTTGGAACACGAATTCTGACCTCTTGACCACATCAATTCTGTGAAGCCATTTATATGGGTGCTTACAATTATGACTGGAAAAAACAGTGCTTGTGTCAAATCTAATCATGTGGAGAAAGCAACATAGGCTGCCTATAGCAAACATTCTTTTTTTAAGCAAATATTCTTTTGTTTTTTGATACCTGGCATAAAGTTTAGAAGTAGCATATAGCTTAAACAGTGAAGGAAAATGGGGCAAAGATTAATATCTCCTCATGTGTGCCCATTCTATAAATTAACAGATTTCAATTAGAATGTCTCACCAATTCAGCATAATACACAGTGACTGAGAACCAGAGTTGACCCATAAAACCCATAATGAAGAGAAAAATACACAGAAAATCTTCTTAAATATAAAAATTATTATCAATACTTTTCTACTTACAGTTCATAATTTAAAATAAAGTATAATTTTCTAAAAAAAAGGATTTGTTTTCCTAAGTTAGAAATCAATCTATTCCCCCATAGCCAAACTATTTGTAATTTACACTATAAACATAGAAAACTCACTACCCTTGATTTTAGTAACAAAACTCAGTAATGCAAGATTAAGCTAATATTCCGGTCTGCATGATGGATAGCCTTTTTTGTGGTACTTGAGCTTGCTAAGCAGGTGCTCTACCACCTGAGTCATGCTCCCAGCCCTGCACTATGTAGAATAAGGAACTCACTACTTTTTTTGGGGGGGAGGTGGTCCGGTTGTGGGGCCAGAACTCTGGGTCTGGGCACTGTCCCTCAGCTCTTCAGCTCAAGGCTAGCACTCTACCACTTGAGCCACAGCGCCACTTCCGGCTTTTTTCTTTTTGCTTATGTGGTGCTGAGGAATTGAACCCAGGGCCTCATGCATGCAAGGCAAACGCTCTACCACTGAGCTACCTTCCCAGCCCCTCACTACTTTTTTTAAGTTTAGAAATCCTCACTGGATTTTACTTGTGTTCACATCAAACTTAAGGGTTATTTTAGCTATATAACAGAAAGAAGAAGAAAAGATGAAGCTGGAGCAAGAAAATCTCTTGGTGGCCAATAGAAAGTTTTAAATTATCTGTCTTCACTGGGGTTCATCAAAGAGAGAGCTAGTCTTATCACTGCTCCAGTAAAACCAAATTCGATTATTTTTAGTCTCTGTAAGGAATGATAATGTACTCTGTACAATTCAAATAAAATAACACAACCAGCAAAGCCAATATTGGCTTTTCTTGGAATCTTCCATATACACAGTTCTCATTTAAAAGCTTTATCAATCTATTAAAATATGACCTCCTGGACACTGAAAAAAAATATTTGAATTCAGTCTGCCTCGAGTTTCATGAACAATATACTAAAAATGAGAATTGAGTTCTTAACCATTCTTTGCCAGGAATAGTCTCCTTCAATATTTTGCTAGTAAATCGGTATGCCATTATTTGCCAGATAATGTAAGACTGACTTAGCTAGATATTAAGTAAATGATATTCAGTTTAGTTTACAATTGCTACTTTTCTGCAGTAAGGTCTTGTTGAATTCTCAAGCACAACTGAAGTGGTTAAAAGCCAAGTTATGTGAATGTTCAAGGAATGTATAATATATAAACACCAACAGTAGAAAAATCAAATTGTAATTCTTAAAATGTAAGTTCCTAAAAAGGATAATAAAGTCCTTAATTCTTACTTCTGCTGTATGATGGAACCTAGACAATGTATATCTTCAGGGTTAGCCTTTTTATGGTGGTACTGGGGTTTGAACTCAGGACATCTCATTTGTTCAGCTGATACTCTATCCCTTAAATTATATCTCTAACCCTGCTTTTTGGTGTTATTTTGGAGATGAGTCTAATGTACTTTTCTGCCTAGGCTGGCCTCAAACCATGATCCTGTGAATCTTAATCTCCTGAGTAGGGAGGATCATAGACATGAGCAACCAGCGCCCTACATTTTTTAAAAAGTGTAATCTTCAAAAAATAGTTATGAAAAGGAAAATATACATATGAATTCCTTTTGAAATCATACTAAGTACAAAGTTTTCAAGAAGTGGTTGATTGCAATATAATTACCTCAGTATTGATATTACGTCGAGTTGAAGAAGTTCCACACTTGAGCCTGAGTTTTGTCACCAGGTGCTCATATTCTTTAACTTCATTGAAGCGAAATGCTCTTTTTCCTTTGATACTAATGATGACAGATTTGGTGGACTCATCTGTCTTATCTATAGCTAATACCTGGGGGGAGTAAAAAGATATAAGTGAAGCACATTTTCTCTTATTGCTGACATTTTGAGTGCAATATGTTTGACCTCTTTTGTGGCTGAAGGTTTTGATCTGTCACATGAATTATAAAGAAATAGATTTGGGTACTAGTTGTACTTATGACACCAGTTAACTATAGTTAAAATGATTTCACTCTTCAAGGATAAGATTTAACATGTGCCCTTTAAAACTGCCAATACAAATGCAAAATATTCAGTGTTGAGTACTGATAATTTATGTCTCATTTACATAAAAGCTATCAATTCCTTTCTTTTTGACCAAGAATATAAAATGTGATCATTTACATTTTTGTATTCATGTGCTAAATATCTGAATGAGGTAGCTCATTTTACTTCATTCTAAACCTTTATCTGGTTTGAAAAGCTTTTCCTTTTTCTGTTTTTTACTTTTAGTAAGGACCACAAAGGTCTACTAAAAGGAAATATCAGTATTTTAAAAAGCCAGTCCTTTTATCTGGAAGATACTGCATATTAAGCTTTTATTAATTTACAGAATTAAATGATTTTAAAAACTAAAAAGGATATGCAACCAAATTTATATTACCTCTCGTAATGGAATGATTACACTACAAAGATTGCCATCCTGGCTAGTAAAGCAGATATAGTTTTGTGAAATGCACATTTTCCCTTGAGTATTGAGGTGGGTGAACGGAACCCATAAGAAACATTCATGTATCTCTTTCAAAGTCTCTTCTTTGGGCAGCCTAAAGAGGGCATTGAATTGCTCACTGTGAGCTCGATTTTCCAAGCCTCTGTAGGAAAGAAAAAAAGGGGAGGAATGGGCTCAGCTGATGAATTCTAAAGTATACACATGACTATACTGAATAATCTAAATGTAAGCAGATTAGACATGAAATGCTATGTTCTTCAATGAATTTTCAAATGGAAAAAAAACACACTCCAAATACACTCAGTTTGTTACTTTTCTAATTTCATTTTACTATTAGATTAAAATATACAAGACTGAGAATTATAAAGGGATGATTTACTTGAAGACTACTATTATATGTGACTATGGCCAAAACCAATCTTCAAACACAATAATTTACATCTGGTTGTGAGAAAATTTATAGTTATCCAGTTCAAAGTAAAAATAATGAAGACGTATGCCATTAAAATTTAAGGAGGAAGGGCAGTCTTTAGAACATTAAAATTAATTTAGATAAAAATCTAAATTAATATTTAAAAACCTCCAAAGTAGAAGCACAATAAAACAATATCATTTTCAAAATACTAGGCACAGGATAGAAGTTAATCAGAAGTTAACAAGGAAGCTTGTTAATTAACACATAAATACAGAAATATATTAACAGCACAATTTTTATGGGCTTTAAACACTGTGCTAAGCAACAAAGCTCTAACTCAAATCCAACTAAGTTAAGACTAAATTCATCCTCCTAGCTGGCAGTATTTGAATATGTGATACTTTATCTTGACTTTTAAACTAACTCTAATAAATATGACAAGAAAATTACGTTTTTAACCTCACTTAAGTTGCAGTTGGGTGGGTTATTCCACTAATATTTAAAATGAAGAAAATAATGTTAAATTTGGTTTCATTAAATGTTTTTTTTGATCAGTACTAAAATTTGGACACAGGCCTTTACATTCTTGCTCAACCTGGTGGCTCTACTACTTGAGTCATGCCACCAGTCTAACATTTCACCAGTGAACTGAAGTCCAGGCTGGCTTTAAACTGCCATCCTCCAGACCTTAGCCTAAATAGCTAGGATTGTAGGTATCAGTCACTAGCACCAAGCTCCACTCAGAACTTTGTCAAATATATAATTCATATATTAAAAAACTTAGATGAAGATACACTAAATTACTGCTATAAATACTTCTATACTGTTTAACTTTTAGAAGTAATACATATTTGTAAAAACAATACACAGAAGCAGTAATTATATTCTTATTATTAGAAAAAATGATTTGGAAGACTGTCAATTTGCTCTTCATAACTTAATAGAAAAAGGGAAGTCAGGCTCACAAAAGAATCTTAAATCTCTGGATTTTAGAATGGTTTAGTAATAAACAAGAGAAACAAGTGCCCAACTTGGTAGAGCTACGTAGTAGGCACACAAAAACTTGTTCTGGTCTATTCATAGGACTCTGGCATAGCTGCCTTTTAGATTTCCCCATACAGCAAATACCTTCATTGTATACAAGAGGCTGTATACAAGAGGTGGAGAACTGAGGATTGCGGTTGGAAGCCAGCCCAGGCAGGAAAGTCTGTGAGACTCTTATCTTTAATAACTAACCCCCATAAAAGTCAGAAATGGTGCTCTGGCTCAAGAAGTACAGTACTACCCTTAATCAAAAGAAGCTCAGGGACAGTACTCAGGCCCTAAATTCAAGTCCACGACTGGCACACACAGACAAAAGAAGACATTTTAAAATGTGTGTACACTGCTACCTATTTCTGAATCTTTTCTCCTTCTGTCCTTTGGCAAGTTCCTTTCACTCAATTCAGTGTTGGGCAAGCCTAAAGAGCTCTTGGTCAGTTTCAAGAAAGTACATACAGTAGCAGTTGTAACTGATACTTCCTTTTTTATTTTTGAGACAGAGTGAGCCTGTGAGACTAGGAATGGAATCAACTTTGGGATCTTCCTGCCATAGTCTCCCATAGTCACTTCTACTGTTAGAACTTACCAGGGTTTTACATTTTACAAACTTTCCTCTGTTTCACTCATTCCTTATAATTGCCCTGAGGTAGAAATGACACATAAGAAAACCAAGGGTCTATGAGATTATGACTAGTTTAAGGATTTCTCCATAGTCATACTTCAGAATGAAGTATGACTTAAAAATCATGCTATCTATAATTAACTATATTTTTGGTAGTATTGGCAATTTGAACTCAGGGCTTCACACTTGCAAGGTTCTCTAAATTATCTTTTTAAAATAAATATAACTCCAGACTTGCAATTAGAGTACTCACTGAGAAATCTAGAGTTAAAAGTACACATACACAGAAACACACCTCATTATTTCTAAAAGTACTCCAAAAATACTATTTACATAATAGTTCAATTTTATGTTCAAATCATAATTTTCAAACTTAACTTCTATTATTTCTTAGTATTAAACCTCATGGATAGTAAACAATTTTTGAAATGCTATCAATAGACTCAAGAGCTATGAATAAAGAAAAACTATCCTTTAACAAAAAGCAGTTAACATTTTGTGCTAATCAATGATTTTGTCCTTACAGTAAACAACAGTTTAAGAAATACTGAGTTTTGAATACCTTTTGGTTATTTGTAGTGGATCATCAAGGACTGGATCATTTTCAAATGTTTCCTTATCGAAAAGTCGCCTTATAGCATAGTTTGCCAGTTGTTCCATAAGAAGGTATGTTTCATTAATGTGCAAAAACATTGAAAAGTAGTAACTCTCTCCTTGGGAACACACATGAATACTCTCTGTCAGGAGGACATTTGAAGTCTTCTCAAGTTTTGAGATTGCATCCCAGGAGATAACAAGTTTTACTGCAAAAAAGAGTTGTAAGTAAGCATGATTCAATTCTCAATATTCATTTCTGTTAATAAATCAGATATCTTAAAATAACAACTACTTATGTTTTAAATAGCTAAAATAACTTAGAGTTTGAGATTAGTTAAAAATGAGAAGCATTACTATCAATATACACTAAACTCAGAACAGATATACACTTAAAGAATTAAAACTAGTGACTCTAGGCCAGGCACTAGTGACTCACACCTGTAATCCTCAAGAAGCTGAGATATGAGGATTCTAGTTTGAAGCCAGCCCAATCAAAAAAAGCATGTGGAATTCTTCTTTCCAATTAATTACTAAAAAGCCAGAAGTGGAGCTGTGGTTCAAGTGGCAAAGTGTCAGCCCTGAGTGATAAATTCAAGGCCCAGTACCGACACAACAAAAACTAAATAACAACCCTCCCCGTCCCTCCCCCTTTCCCGACTCTAACTTGATGTTTAAGTCTATCTGCTTATATAACTATCTAATTACATTGAATAATCACTGACTGAAAAGATATGTGCATATGCTACAAGCAGTGATGTTTTATTCCTCTGTGGCTGCAAAATATTATGTGTGTAATTAGGTACAATGACTACTAATATATACTCTATATTTCAAGCAATAATTAAAATATGGACTGAAAAATTATTTTATTTTTGTGTAACACTGAGACTAAACCCAGGGCCTTGGGCATGCTAGGCAAGAACTCCACCTCTTGGGCTATGCCCTTAGCCTTCTATTTGTATTTTGTTTTTAGATAGTTTCTCACTAACTTTGCCAGGGCTAGTCTTGTACTTGAAGATTCTCCTACCTCTGCCTCCCAAGTAGCTGGAATACATGTGTGACACACGTGTGACAGCCAATGAAATGCTCTTTAAACCAAAGCAACTGGGATGTGTCACACATCCCAAGTAGCTGTAATATATCACATCTGGCTGCACATAGGTAGTTTGTAAAAAGGGAACAAGACAGATTACTATCATTTAATATTAATTCACTTCCCACAATATGAGAGCCTTTTTTTACACAATTTCTAATGTTTTCCTATGTTAAATAACCTTTTTTATTTTTATAGATGAAACGAACTTTTGTAGTTGTAGTTTAATTACCTTTAATATCAATCCCATTATTTTATATACAATGAATACCACTATAGAGTTGAAAGGTTAGTCAACAAATTCAAAGCCATGATAAGAAAAAAAAACTTACTTTCTGATCCCAGCAAAAAAGAATAGAAACTCAGAAAGTTGGTACTAAGATAAATCCAACCCTGACAAGGAACCCGTCCTTTCCAATAGCTGCATGAATAATAGGTTACTAATTTCTCCTGCTCTGGTAAACCAAAAGATTTTTCAAATTTCAAAAGGGCTTCTCGAAATTTCTCAGGATCATCTTCTTTTGCGAAACTTTGTTTTCCCTCCTCAGCAATTAATCCCTAGAGGAGAAAAAATATTTTTTGAAAATTTATCATCACTTACCAATAAGAACACATTATATATATTTAATTTTAAATAGTCAATAAAACACAATGGCATATATCTCTACAGGTATGTTTTATATGTATATGTGTACATATGTATATGTGTAGTACATACACACTTAGGATGAAAGTGAGAAAATGTTCTTCAGTTTTATGTTACATTTCTTTCTAATGCTTTAGAAGGATCTACCAGAAATATAAATGTTAACTATCTTCTTTTGAATCAACAAAAATTTTATTCAAACCCAAAACTCAAGAGATAATGAGATGAAAATACCACTACAACATTTACAAGGGAAAAAGAGACAAATAACTGACTTTAGAATTTTTTTAAGAACTACTTCTGGTATTCATATATGTGTTTCTACCAATTCTGAAACATGCCAGTTTTTTTAACCAACCTTTCATGCAACCTCTGATCCTTACCTAAGAAGGCAAAAGATATTACAAGTCCATTTACAAAGTACATCCATGCCACTTACTCTTATCTTGCCTTGCACAAAATTAGTAATATCTTCATTTGAATCAAATACAGATAAAGTTGTCATGATATTTTGTTCCAACCATTCCCAATGCTTGGTTATTTCTTCTTTGCTGGCTCCTAATTAACAACATGAGAAGGAAAGTCTCAAGGAAAATTCCACAACAAATCTGCTCTTGAATTTACAGGCTTAGTTTTGAAAAATACTCCCTCCCTTTCAGAAATGATGATCATAAAGTAATAAAAGCATTAAGCATATTCATCATAAAGTAATAAAAGCATTAAGCATAAGTATATGTGGACATGATCAGTAGATGTCAGTATAGAAAGAGTAAGATAATAAGAGGGGAGAAAAGTGTTTCAGCTTGTAAAAAAAGAAAAACTTCTGAAAGCAAAGTAACAGTCTGGTGTCTAGAGAGCAACCACTGTCTTTCATGAGAACATGTGCAGTACTGAATTATATGTAAACATATTCAAATTCTGGTTCTTCAACTAACATCTAGTCTAAAATCTATGTGGGAAAGATGGCATGCAAGTAACAATCCTATGCATGTTATGTATAAGTGGATTTCCATTGTGGCCAATCAACTTTTGAGAGTCAGATTAAATATTATTTCTAGATTGCTTTGGATTAAAGAATATTTCATTGGCTGACAATATCTTCTACACCAGGCAATGTATTATTTTTGGCAGTACAGAAGGATTGAACCCAGCGCCTATTGCTTGTCAGGCAAGCTATGCCCTAGCCCTTTTGAGATAAGGTCTCCCTAATTTTCCCTGGACTGACCTTAAACTCATGATCCTCTTGTCTCTGCCTTCTGAATCATAGAGATGTGCTATCATACTCAGCCCCCCATATGCTTTTAAGATCTTCTCAGAATTGTAGATTATATAAACATTATTGAAAAGAAGTAACAATGAAAAAATTGCCTACCTCCTACTATTCACCTAGAATTTTGTTCATATTACTAAAGTCAGCACACTAAGAGTAAAAGAGCTTTCCTTAATGTAGCATGAATAAAAATTATGAAGAAATTCTTAGACCATTATTTTTATCCATTTGGCTTAATAAAGAAGTACATTTTCAGGTAATTGTATTTTTTTAAAGTAAGTTTCAGTTAGAAGAATAATTTATATAATAATTCTTTACATTTTTAAAGCAGAAAGGACAGGTTTCTTCTAAGTAATTTTGACTAACCAGATTTAGAATTGAGGTTACAGAATTTTCAAATTTCACTTTCACTTAGTTTAAATGGCATTTTATTTTAAAAATCCAGGAGAAAAGACTCCCCAGCAAAACTAAAAGAAATTTAGGGGAAAGAACAAAAAGCCAGATCCTAAAAATTAATACTATGCTATATGTTCACACATATGAAATATGTGTGGGCTTAAAAAATACTTTGACTTACTTTACTAGGAATAATTATTCTAATTCTTTTCCTACCCATAATATATGTGTGGCGACATCTGAAGCACATTAATATAAATGAATAATATAAGACATTATTTCATAGTTGAAGGATAAAATGCTTTTGTGAGAAAGTCGGCATGTGAATTTTAAAAAGTTAAATTAAAAAAATTGTTTTTACAGTCCTGGGGCTTAAACTGAGGGCCTCATGCTCTTGGTTTGTGTGCTCAGCTGGTACTCTACCAGTTGAGCCATGCCACCAGCTTTGCTTTTTCATAGTTATTTTGGAGATAAGAGTCTCAGCAATTCCTCTGCCTTCAAACTGTTATCCCCTAGATCCCAGCTTCCTGAATAGCTAGGATTACACGCTGGTAAACAGCTTCAGGCTTATCCTCTTTAGGAACAACCTTTAAATTTTGGACTCACAGTTAAGTTCACATTCTCCTCATTTAGTTATTCGAAATTATTTGGGGGAAAATTCTTATCTTCAAGTCATATTTCATGGGAAGAATCATATCTTTCCAGCAGTTAGAGTCATGTAGCAGTAACAAGACAAAAATCTGCCCCGAATCAGTATTGCTGGACCACATGCTTCAGGTCTCTTAGACCAATGGAATTATTAATTAATTAATTAATCTGTAATTGTTCTTAAACAGGCAAGGTAGAGTTACACATTTAACTCACTTCTAAATCTTAAAACAATTAAGGAATATAAATAAATTTAAATATTCACTTTATTATGTTTATTGTATTTTAACTATTTTCAAAATCATACTCACCACATGCAATTGACCAGTAAAGTTGAGAATCTGGCGTCTGGTGTAGGATGCGAAATGGAGCTACTTTAGCAGTAGAGTCTAAGACTGAATCAAGGGTCCCAACCAGAAGCCCTATTGTAATACAAAGATGATTGAAATAATTTTATATAACACACTGACTTCTTTAACAAAACGTATAGCCTGAGTCTTGATACACATTTTTTCTTTTATTTTTCTTTTTAGGGGGAGGTTTTTAAAAAAATTACATTAAAAAGTTTTATTGTTATATTCCAACACATTTACAATGTATTTTAATCAATCTCACTCCCTCTATCACTTTCCCTTCCCAAAACAATTTCAGTAAGTTTCCTTGCTCTATTTTAACCTCTGATACAGACTTTAAGGAAAGATACATAATTGAGATGAAGAGATTATCATGACCAGAGTGAGCAGTATTTAGGAAAATCATTTTCCAATAAAAAGTCATGTTGAATTATCCAAATCTTACAATGTATTTGCAGTACTTATAAACTTCCATAAAGCAGCTGTGTATATAATAGAAAAGAATATAGAATCTACTGGGTGTTGGTGGCTCATGTCGATGAAACTAGCTACTTAGGGGGCTGGAAAGGTGTCTCAGTGGTAGAGCGCTTGCCTTGCATTCATGAGGCCCTGGGTTTGATTCCTCAGCACCACATAAGCAAAAAGAAAAAAGCCGGAAGTGGC